AGACGCCAACCACAGCCTTACCTTCCCTTTCAGTGTCTGCAAAGCATCCAGGTAGGCGGCCAGCATGGGCAGACTCAAGGTCTCCACCAGGGTCGTGTGCAGCCACTGGATCAGCTTGGTGTCCCAGCTCACACTGGCCAGGGCCTGCCGCACACGCCTTGCACACTTGTCCACGGCTACACGGCGTAGCACTGGCTCATTACAAGCCTGAAAGATGCAAAAAGAAGGAACAAGAGTTCCACTTGGTTAGCAAATGGGAGGTGGGTACAAATCAGTCAGCCAGAGAGGCCTGAACTAGGAAGAGCCCACCTGGGCGGATTTCTGATGTCTTACCCCTTCATTGGCCAAGCGGGCAAGTCGGTCAGACTGCAGGGCTTTGAGGATCTTGTTGAATAGCTTGTTCTGGGCCATTGTCCAGCCAGTCCTATAATGGAAACTCTGAGGAGTTAAGGTCAAACCCTAGGGACAAGACTCTGTCATCTTTTTTGATCCCATTATGAGAGAGTATAACCTGAGGTAATTTAGTCAAAGACTACTGAGGTAAAACACAAGATTCTGGTCCCAATCTTGGCAATGAATCACCTCAGCACACATTTGAATTAATCTTACCTACTACAAGTCAAGACCAGTCACAGATGAAGTCTTTTAGTGCTACCAAAGCTAATTATTTATCTAATGGCTAAGATACTCACCCTAACAAATGAAGACAGGTCTACACCAGTGTGTAGACCTATTTGAATTTCACAGGTTGTACATTCCACACAAAACCAGAAGGATCAGCAAGCATTTCAGTGTACCAAAACCTTAGACTATGGTAAGAAGTCTACTTAAACTAGCTTTAAAAACAAAAACAGCAGAAATGTGACCAATGAACAGACTATTCTCCCAGTCTCAATTTTACCCTACACTAATCTCTCCTCTTTTTCCATATTTTTAAAATTTTTTTCTTCTATGCCACAAAATTAGTGAACTTATGTTCCGTGTAAGTTAACACTGTTATCCCAGCGTAGGACACCAGCATACACAGGCCAGATGCTTACTAACAACTTTCTGTCCTCCTCCAACACAGCAGTACACCCTGCAGTCAGGAATCTACCCCACTGTTCTCATCCCCACATCACTGCACCTAGACAGAAGTGTGGATCCTGTTATCTTTCCCGTCACCCCACACCAGGCAATCGCAGTAGACACTCTAATTCAGACCAGCAAGCCTCCTAAAGATAAAGGCAACAGAAGACACCCAATCAGAGCCGGAAGCGGTAGGGCACACCTGTAATCCCAGCAGCTCGGGAGGTTGAGGCAGGAGCCTCAGCAATAATGAGGCACTAAGCAACTCGTGAGACCCTGTCTCTAAATAAAATACAAAATAGGGCTGGGATGTGGCTCAGTGGTCTAGTTCAATCCCCAGTACCAAAAAAATGATACCCAACCAGTAATATTTTTTTAGTGACCCTCCCTGCCATTAGAAAAACTGCTCAATACATTATTTCTTAAAATATCAGTGGTTGCTAGACCCAAACAAGATAAATCAAAGTAGTATTTCTTGTCAGTAGGAGGATAAAGTCACAAAGTAGGGCTGAGATAACCACTAGCCAAGTAGAAAATAGTGATCAGTCTCCCTGGATTGATAGCTATCTACCAATCTCAGAATCAGGCCTTTTCAAGAATGAAAGAAGACAAAGCCTAAGAAACCTAGAAGACAAAAAAGAAAGAGAGATAAATGTAACTTAGTGAGACCCTGTCTCAAAATAAAAAATAATGGCACTGCTTAAGCAGTTCAATCTCCAGTGCCAAAAAAAAAAAAAAAAAAAGTAGCTCCAAAAATTTAATACAATAAAGTATTTGGGTTGGGGCGATAGCTCGGTGGCAAAGCGCTTGCCTAGCATGTGTGAGGCACTGGGTTCAATTCTCAGCACCACATAAAACTTAACAAACATAAAGGCATTCTGTCCATCTGCAACTGCAATAAATAAATAAATAAACAAACAAACAAACAAATAAAAGAATAAGGTAGTCAACAGGTAAAGAACATGAAAAAGCAAAGGCAGGTCACAAAACAGTACAGTTAACCCTACCTCAAAATTAAACAAATGCAGATTAAAATAAGTTTTTTTTTTTTAACTACTGAATAGATAAAAATAAAGTTTAATACTGGGTTATGAGGTGTAAGTAGATCCCTCTATATTTTGTTGTTGGAAATAAATAAAAAGTAGTACCTCTGGAATGTCAGTGGGAAAATGAATTTTGGAAGGTCAATCAAAACCCTGAGTCAGGGCTGGGGGGTGGCGCTCCATGGCAGGGCACTTGCCGAGTGAACCTGCAGCCTTGTGTGATCTGATCCCAGCACCACACACTCAAAATTCTAAGTCAGATCATATCATTCCTCTGCCCCGTCCTTCAGGGGCCTCATTTCAATCAGCTAAAATCTCGAGTCCTTGCAATGGTTGTGGAGCTCCCACTGCCTCTGACCGCATCATGACTTTCCTCGCTCACTTTGCTGCCTTCAGGGTCTCCCCACTCCCCACTCAGGACCCCCCACTCCCTGGTTTCACACACACCAGGTGCAATCCTCTAGCAGACTGGGCCCTTCTGGTTCATTCCCTGAACTGAAACAATGTCTACCTCAGGTCACATTCATATGTTCACGTTACCTTGCAGGGAGGCTTCCTCTAAGCTCTCCTATTTAAAACTGCAACACCCTGATCCCAGCCTGGAATTCTCTAACCCTGTTTCAAGCGGAAGCTGTATCACCATTTCCCATTCTAGCCACTGTACTGGAGTTCAGTTTGTCTCCCTTTGCTACAATGTAAAAGCCAAGCTGGCTGGGACTTTGGTCATTTTAAGTCCTGCCTCCCCAGCACATAAAACAGCCTAATGGGCTGGAGTTGTGGCTCAGCAGTAGAGCGCTTCCCTTGTACGTGTGAGGAACTGCTTTTGATTCCCAGCACCACATATAAGGAAGCAAATAAAATAAAGGTCCATCAACAACTAAAAAAATTTAAAAACAGCCTAATATCCCAGGAGTTAACATCTGCTGAATAATAATGGCTGAACTGTGTCACGCTGCATTCTAAGCTCTGCAGTGAGGTCCAGACTTAACCTTCACCCCCTGTATCCCACCTGACAAATGGGTACCAAGCAGCAGAGAGGAATGGAGAAACAAAACTTGTGCTCCATCTTCACCAGACCAAGGTGGTCAAACTACCAGAAAAGCTGCATTCCAATAGCCTCAATTTCTCTTACTTTATCATATAGCACGCTAGCATCCTTTCCATAACACCACCGTGCCCTATGAGACAACCTAATTTCTACTGGCCATGGCTCTAGGAACATCAGAGGACAAACTACCCTTTGTAATTTAATCTGTACAACTATTTGTGTTCTGTGAGCAAGCAAATACTCACTAGAAAGGAGGAAAACAATTCAACACCTTTCCTTCAGCAAAATAAAATCTCCACCTACTACATCTCCAGTTTACAACATGATCCAGGAGAATGCTAGCTCTACCCAGTTCTCCAATAAAGAGCTGGCCACGTGCCCTGGATATGGACTAGATGATTCCTAAATCCTCCAAATTTCAGGTTCACTCTGATCACTGATAATGAGAACAGCTGAAACCCATGATCACAGAGACAAAACCAGGCAACTCTTAAAAAAAAAAAAAAAAAACCAGGCAACTCTTTTCCAGAAGCAATTTCTATATTTAAATCTTTCCTCACTACAGCTAAATCTTTTTTTGGGGGGTGACACTGGGGATCAAACCCAGGGATGCTCTATCACTGAGCCGTATCCCAAGCCCTTTTTACCTTTTATTTTTGAGACAAGGTCTCACTAAGCTGCCAAGGGTGGGCTTGAATTTGTAATCTTCCTGACTCAGCCTCTGAGCAGCTGGGATTATAGGCATGTGCCACTGTGCTCCAGTGCTAAATCTGTTAAACCTCCAAAGCCATTCGCTCTTTTGTGATCCTTTCCCTGCCCCCAGTGGCGTATTAGAAGCAGTCTTAGGTTTCTGGGGATTGTCCTCTTTTTCCTTTTTACCTAGTTATTTTGACTTTATTTCTATTGCTTCATCAGGATCCACCCATTTTTATTGTGGTTTGATGCTCAGAAATGATGGACTTGGCCTGCCAGATACTATGACACATGCCTGTAATCCCAGCAGCTCAGGTGGCTGAGGCAGGAGGATCTCGAGCTCTAAGCCAGCCTCAGCAACTCAGTGAAGCCCTGAGCAACTCACCAAGACCCTTTCTCTAAACAAAATATTTTTCAAAAAGGCTGGGGATGTGGCCCTGTGGTTAAGTACCCCTGGATTCAATCCCTGGTACCAAACAAAAAATAAAAAAAAAATTCTGGACTTAGGAGAGGAGGGGTGAATGCTTCAATTCCATGTTAGGACCCCAGGAAGGTGTGCTGGGACCAATAACTTCAGACCACCAGTTCATAATCCTGTTTTCCTTAACGTTTCTGCAACACAGAAATTCCATGAGTAGCAGCTCTCTTATGTCCAGTGATCCTCAGGGGGTCTTGTGGATTGGGTGGAGGCTGGAGGAGACAGAAGGTGCTCACAAATAGTGTGAAAAAGCTCCCTGGAGAAACATGGCTCTACCCCCAAGTAACATACCTCTTTGTTTTTAATGCGATTAAGTCCTACCCTATTTGTAGGCATCTGGGGTGCGTCTCTTTTACTATGATTTAGGAAAATAAATTTCTTGAACTGGAAATAAAAGACAAAGGTTACCTGTGTTAAAAGTGAGCTTCCAGTTCTGTGAAAGTACAAAGAACCTGCAACATCACAAAAGTGGGACTGTATTCATAGCCTTACCTCCAGTAATAATGCTCATTTATAACCAACCAGAGTAAGCAATAAATATGATTTTTCCACGTTCCACAATGTCTGGAACTTTCTCAAAGTCATTAATCACACTGCAAAATTTAGCTTCAAGAACAGAAAATGAGATAGAACTGATTTATGAAATACCAACAGCATTTCCAAAATTATCCTGTTCTTTGTCATGTAACAGGAGATTTTTCCCTATTTGTTTTTCTTACTCTACATCTATTCTAAAACCCAAAAGATGAGAGCAAGGAAAATGATGTGAATAAAAATCTAGAAAGCTACTTGAAAATCACCACTGTATACCAGTGACAGCTGAAATTAAATTTAAAACCACAATGTTGAGAGTCTAAAATCCCAGGAAAAGGTCTTAGGATTGCTGCTGTATATATAACAAAGCAATCTCAAGAACTGAACATGTTCTCTATATTTTGTTGGCTTCGTGGGAGGCTGGAAAATTAAGTGGGCAGAAAAAAATGATCTACCCCAAGATTAAGATAAAGAGCATGCAAAAGATATAATTAAGGAAAAATTTAAAAACAGGAGACAGAATGTTAAATACAAGTCTAAACAGTCAAATAGCTGATGGG